CTGCCTGGTCTGTAACACCACCCTTTCTTTTGCAAGGCATTATCTTATTTACTGTCTTGAAAACTGGAACAAAGCAGAAGCCTTTCGCCTTTGTTATGCCATCCTCATTCATCACAGGAACGCAGCCTGTCCTATGCAGTGAGTGAAACAAGGGATCTCTGTAAAAGGAATTTTGGGATCATACAAAGAGACTGTATCCAATTCAAAAAGGAAGGGGAATGAGTGGCTCCTATGCTTCTTGGCTTCTGGCTACTTCACAGCCTTAGTATACTTCTAATGCAACTTATCTTGCTTGTAAATCTGAAGAATAGTTGCTTGAGATAACATGTATTTTTAATTTCAATATTCTTTTCTTAGAGGATCAGTTTAGAGCTACTGTCAGCATAATTTGAAAAAAAATCTTGCTGCAGATGGGGAGGCACATTTTGGCTCAGGCTTCAGCTGTCAGGAAAGGAAGGGTCAGTAAAGGAGCATACTGCAGTTCATAGCCTGCCACTACTGTGTCTTCCTGTTCTGTTTTACTTCTCTTTCCTCTGACATTTTCTGACACTTTGGCTCTTGCTTCTCTCTCTCTTTTTTTTTCCCTTCTCTGTTTTCTCCTCTCCATCCCGTCACTTCTACTTTTTTCCCACCTGGTTCATGCAGAAGGTTCATGGAGCCGGACACAGCTGTCTTAGCAGGGGATGGTGCATGTACACCTCTTGCAGGAATGCAGATATAACATTTTGGGGACTAAGCTGATGCAAATTATATGTAACTACCCAAAGGTTTAAATACTGGTGTAATTCAGATAGTGAGTGTAGCTTGAGAAAAGACTATGTCTAATCCGAACTCCTCTAGGTACCTGAATTAAAGTTCTGCTTTGAAAACATGATGGCAATGCAGCACTTTGTGATCTAATTTTCTTTACTACAGAAAAAAAAATATTGTTCTTACTGAAATACAAAGAGGGAAAAGCCTAGGGATGAATTTTTTTTCTACATTGTGTATCTGCTGAATAGAGACAGCTTATCAAAATTAAAAGAAAGACAAAGACTAACAGTGGAAAACCTTAAAGCAAACCTTATGACTGGAGTTACCTTCAGTGCAGAACCCCAACAGAGGCAGTCTTACTACTGGGATCCTTCTATTGCTCAGGCATAACCCTTGAGCTAGGAGAACAAACTTTGCAAAACAAATTAGACTGAGATTGTCCCATATGCAATTAATGTAATTCAGAGCTGATTCACCATAGATCAGAAAATGTCCTGAGTACAGTGCTTCTTGGTATGTAAACAGGCTAAGTCCTTTATAATTATTGTCCTCTCTTCTAAGACAGCGTGTGGGAGCAGACGTAGTTACAAAAGACCTTTGATTCCACAAATTATGATCCTCTGAAAAACTCGTAAGCAGATCTAGAGGGAACAACTGCATGGTCTACTTGCTTCTTGATCACAGCTTTTGGTCAATGGGTATGTTGTGTTTCCAGATTCTCATAACAGTCAAGGCAGCTTCTTATAAAATGCATAAGTATCTGGAGTTTTCTTCCCAAGGCAGACTGTGGCTTCTGCCACTGCTTTGATTGAGCATTACTCCTTCTGGCTCATCTTGTTCTTCTGGTGCAAAGGATGAGAGGTTTTACTGCTCAGAGAGCAAGGGTGTGCCTTTCTCACCAATTCTGGTCCTCCAAAAAGAGAAGAGTGCATCTGATGATCCATGCCATAAGCAGGTAATTTGCCTGCTGTTGCCACTAAGATGAAATCCAAGCTTTTGAGCTTCTTCTTTGCATTTCTTTCTCCTTACACCTGTAACCTAAAGAGCTGGCTGTGTGAACGTGGAACGTGTGTTTGTGCTGGGGGAAAAAAGTATTTCACTGATAGCTGTGGAGCCTGCCTAAAGCTCTCAACTGCTCCCTGCTTGTCCACTCTCCATCATACCTGCTCAGTCCAGTGAAAGTCTTTTATTTACTCTTGCTGCTTTCCTTGCAGGTACTTGCCAGGACATCCACGAGCACTGCTATGGAGTTTTGCTTCTAAGCAAAGCCCAAACATGCAACTGACTCTAATGCAAACTCATTTGCTTGTGTGTCCCAGAACTACTGCTTGATTTTGATAAGATTCAAATTTTTGGATTCTCCTGTCCTCATTAGCTGCAAAAATTTTGTTTTTTAGCATGGGAGATGCCATTCTTTCTTCCTTTTAAATGATATGGGGCTTCACTGCATGGATTCCTGAAACTGTAGAGGTGTAAAATTTTCTTGGCAAACTGACATTTAAATGCCAATGCCCAAACAATAATTTATCTTTCCTGTTATACCTTAATCGAGTTTACAGTAAACTGGATTAACTCTTTCTATTTACATCTGCTAGAAGCTAAAACACTGTGGCTGCTTTTCCTAGAACTACACTGTGCAGCAGTAACAAAAAAGTATGTTTGTCTTCTTGCTTACATATGCAGGTTTATTTTTTTTGAAACCATTTGATAAATATCTGGAATTTTTCACAGCAGAACAAGGAAAACTGTAAATCTCTTACGTAAACTTAAAGAGAAAAATATATATGGCTGCTTACTTGACCTGGGGAAAAAAAACTAAAAGAAAGTAATCAGACCATCCTCCTGGTGTTTGTGAGGTACCTCAACTATGTGTACAGCAAATTAATATGAAGAAACACACCCATTTTCATTATTTGTGTCTTTCTCTTTAAAAAAAAGGCAACTAAATGAAATCCCAACGTCGCAAGTAGCTGCAAACATTTCTTCAGTGAAATAGTCTTAGCTTCCATCACAGTGCCTACGGCAGCAGAAGCAGGGGGAAGGCAGTAAACTGACATTAAAAATGGTTGTAACAAGAGCAAAGAAATCTGTAACAAGAGCAAATTAAGCTTTTTGTCTGGCTTTAGAAAACCTTCAGAACAAGTGCTTTCAGAGTGGACAGATGAAGGTTAAATCAATAAGCAATCACATTCATCACTTTTTGTATATTAAGGCAGACACAGTAATACGTAGTTGTTGGGGGTTTTGTTTTTAAACAGCTTTGTTTATTTTAGTCAATAGCAGGCATAGGCATTCAAGCTCTGGACAGACATTCATGGGATTTAGCTGTGCTTTTGCAATTATAAAGCAATTTCCAGTGTGGAAATGTAGATTTGTCTTGCACAAGGGACATACCAAAAGATTATTAGTTAATGACTGTAAATAGTCTACACTGCCTTGCTCTACATATGCTAAAGTGGGACAGGACTAATTAAGCACGTAAACTTATTTTTAAATTACAAAGTAATTTGATTATGGCTGTTACACAACTTCATTCCAAATAAATCTGAACAACCCCCTACCAGGTTAAGGTCCGCACTCAGAAGCATATGATGTGTTCTCCACAGTACAGACTATAACATCTGACTTGGTTTAACTGTTTTATATGAATCAAGTGTCCCAGGAGCTGCGTTTCACACATGCATTTTTCCCTAATTAAATCATGCTGCTGATTTTGGTTTACATAGGTTCAATATTCAAAACTGAGATTAAAAATGTACTCTGGTAGTACCATCATGCTAACACACTTCTGCTTGCATACTTCAGTTAAAAAGAGTTAGATGTACAACTAGACTGGCCCTTTTTAACATCAGTTTACATAGGGGGATCAACATGCTTGCAACAAACGTGGGTAGAGCCCTTCCCAAATCTTGGTTCACGAAGCCCAGCCATGATGATGATGACATCAGGGGATGTTGATTTCTGTGTGTTTTCAATGTGTCATTGGTTTACATCCCTCTGAATTGCTTCTTGCTGTGCTACTACAAGCATTGTTCTAAGGCCTAGAATATCAGTGCTTCATTTTCTTCAACCAGAAGCCATGTTTCTTTATCAGTAGCTAACTTGTCAAATAGCATTCCTGTTGTCCCTGCTTCTTCCAATGCTGATGGAAGGAGAACCTCTAATGAGAACAGAGTTTGCAGTAAGATGTAACCTGGCTACTGAAACAAGGGATGATGAAAGGTTGTCTTTTAACCATAGAATACCAGGCTGGAAGGGACCTCAATGATAATCCGGTCCAACCTTTTTGTCAACAGCAACAGCCTAGACAAGATGCCCCAGCACCCTGTCCAGCAGACTCTTGAAAGTACCAATGTTGGGGAATACACCATTTCCCTGGGGAGATTATTATGGACAATCACTTGTCTTCCCTTCTGTAGATTTCTTAAATTTGTAATTGTGGGGGAAAAAAAGTTGTAATACGCTTTAGTATTTGGAACAGGAAGCTGTAGTATCCTGTGTTCTCAGCTTCTGCACTACACTAATACTGTTCTGCATATCCCATTGTGACTGGATGTCATGAACTTGCAGGTTTTAATTGGAGTGCCTTATGCAATACTGTCTGCAGACACCAAAGAGAGAGCTAACACTTCCCTTACACCAACGGCAACTTAAAATTCCTGGATCAGTGGGACTATGAATATCAGCTCTTTCCTAGGGTGGTTAAGGAGAGATTACAAGGGAACTACCATATATATATACCAGCCCCTAAGCCTACTCTCCAGTGTGTTCTCTTTGCGTGTTACAAAACACAAGAGTTGGCACTGGAAACTAGTGCCAGCAATGCAGCCAGTGGCACAATACCCTGCTTCCTAGGGTATTAGGGTGCTACTACTTCTATTTCCAAATGACCTTTATTGTCTTAATTTGTATTTTGGCCAATGGTGCAGCCTGACCTGACTTCCCTTCCCCACTTTCCAAAAAAAAAAACAAACAAACAAAATCCTTCCAAAGCAACCCAATTACCCTATTATGGTAATAACTTTAACTATCAGTTTAAGGAACAAATAATTTTTTCAGATACCATTAAAATCAGTCTATTTAGAAGTGAAAGCCCTTTATGCCATGTGATATGTAACGTGCACAGTGACACTGAAGTATGAAATCAGTGCATGTGTATTTTGGTCAAAGAAAGTAGTTCTTTATTGTATTAGTATTTATTTTTTTTGAAAACAGAAAATTCTGTATTAAAAAAAAATAATTTGTTAACAGGCCAAGAAAGAGCTTCAGCAAAAGAGCTTTAAATCAGTGGCAAGACATTTTTGGCTCAGACCTCATTTTAGATATTTCCCCAAGACCTTGTTTCTGTGACTAAACATGATACTTGCTAGGTTATTTTATAACAGGGCATATTAGACATATCTTCATATTAGACCAGATGCAATTCATCTTAAGTGCTTACAAAAGAATAACAGAACTGTATTGACCCAGATGGTCTTCTTGTACCCAATTCTTTTTCATGCTTGGTAGGTGCCATTTTAACTTATGTGCTTTAGAAGTATTTTAATCTAAATAAACCAAACCAAACAACAAAAATTAACAAACCCACAACCAACAACAAAACAAGAATACTGTCAAGACTGAAGAGATCTGGAGCTAGCTGCTGAACTCATTTGGCAGAAATGGCTGAAATCACACCAGACACTCATTAGAATACATTTCTTGTCAGCAGTACTGCTGTTAGAAAGCAAGGAAGTCCGCTGTGAAAAAGGGTCCTTCGTTGTTAGAAGCTCATTGACATTTCTATATAGCCATTAGATTTCTGAAGAATGGAGTTGGACTGACGAATCTCTTTCCAGAAATATTCAGACAAGCAGCTTCCAACATAGGAAAGGTACAGGACTACCAGGGACTACAGGGATCTGGGCATTCCCGCAGGTAAGTCTCTGTATGACCATTATACACCTCCATCAGCGTTGTGCACACAGTCAGCTAACAGGCAGTGGGAAGAGGAAAAAAGAAAAAAATCCTCATTACAGCAACTAGTGAAAACCTGTCTCTGATATCAGCTGAACAGTTCAACTAAAATGAGCATTTACCTTCTTTAGTCAACAACATGCAAGTATAAATTGCTTGTGTTCTTAGTCAAGAATGCTGCCTCCACTGAACATAGTAACTAAACTTTATAATCCCAAACCTCTTTTCTCTCCTTCCTTCAGTCTTTTTTTATTCTAAACATCAAAACTGCAAGTTCAGACTAAAACATCTTCTGTTGCAAGATGAATGTGCCTGTAGTATGCCCAAACCATGAGGTATATTAACTTGTTTCATGCTAATTACAAAGGCATATATCACAGATTAATTCAGATTAGAAGGGTGCTCACGATGTCTGTAGAGCAACTGCTGCCTCAAACCAGAGCCAGCTACGAGGAAAGGGCTCAGGCTACTCGGAGTTTTAAAGCTGTAGGGCCTTCGGAAAATTGCTATTCCAGCAATTACATTTTGCATTTACAAAGTAATGTGAAATTTGTTTTGTATTTACATCCATGTTTTCCCCTAAAAAAACCCTGAATGTACTGCTGTGACCTACTCCTTAGATGTACAGTAATTAGTGGTCTGCCCGTACTCTAAACTTTCTGCAAAAATAGAAGCATTACCTTATTGAGGACAGGCTTTGTGGAGAGAACATCATAAATTGCTGGTAAGGAGAGGTTCTGAAAGAAAATTATACACTGATGTTAAGGAACGTTATCCTATTAGTGTAAACGCTGAAAACAGTAACTTTTTTACAGCTCAATTGCATAACATATAGCTATAAGAGCATATGATACCCATACACCTTGAGATCAGAAGAATGTAGGCTGCAAAAACTTGAGCAGACCAGATCTCAGTAGAGCTTGGAACACTGGACTATATTTGCTGCCTGACAGTGCGTGTTTGAATTTCACCAATGTAAAACCGCCCAGGAAACACTGAAAGTCTTTCTCAAAGTATCTCCAGGTTTATCCCCTGCATATGCAGCTGCTGAAAATACTTGCAGGAAACCTGCCTAGACAAAGAGAAAGCCCAAAACCGGGGGAAAAAAAAAGAAAAAGAAGCATGTAAAGGGCCAGCTGGCACTTTTTACCAAGAAGCAGAGACACGTTACCATAAAACCGCCAACCACTATCATTACAGCTGTGCTTGAAAATAACCTGAATGCTCCTGGCTGTGTCAGGTCAGTACTGTAACGTGGGAGTTTCAAAACAACAGGATATGACATATTTGGAGGATTTTTACCTCTTGTGTTGTGTGGTTCAGGCATTTCATTGCAGGTCCTCTGCGATTATCCAATACTAGTGGGGGCTTCCAGCGATCGTAGTTTGTTTCTAACACATACCACGTGCCTTTCTTGATATCAAGGCTGGAAAAGACATCTCTGTTTGTGTTTTGCTTCTCTAAGTATATAGTAAGTACATATATACAGTATATACTATACACTGTTTTTTTAGGCTTGCTGGGGTATTTTTCAATGATGGTAAAGAAGTAAGTTTTTGTACAACAGAAGTCACAAGAAATAGCAGACACTATTATTGGTGGAACCTGTACTCTTCTGGAAGGCTGAGCTGGGTGTCAGGTCTAGCATACTCACTCCCAGATATCCAGAGCAGCTGTCCTGGAACGAGTTATCACACATCCTTCTCCAGAATTTTTTCCACCCAGTATAAAGTAAGCTGGAGCCAGCAGTCTTGTTTTGGCCAGTTTGTCTTTTGCATCCTGGTAACTGTGGATAAAGTAGTGTTGGACTATTAAATGCTATAAATGGTTCAAGTGCTGAAGAACAAGTTACACAGACCCAGGAAAAGTTTGGGTTGTTACTAGTTTGGTCTTTCTTCCCCCTTCATGTACATATGAGGAGAAAGGACCACAATGAAGGAACACATTTAAGCAAAGTATCTCTACTCATTTTGAATCTAAAGTATGGTTGTTTAGAGGTGCTCTTTGTACTTTTTCTACATTAAAACATGAATAAAATGATGATGACATGCTGTGTCATATTCCACTGAATTAATTAATTGCATGACAACTTTTTTTCTGCTTACTTCCTATATATACTATATACTTCCTTTAATATAATATCCAACTACCAGTTGGATGTGTTTTGGTGCAGAATGCTGTTATGCTTTTAGATACCAACAGGTTCATTAGAAAAAAAATAATCTGAGAAAAATATTTGAGGGATCATGTGTGACGTCTTGGCCCCTGCTCCAGAGTACCAGCAATACCAGAACAATTTAATGTTAGGGCCACCAGGAAGGTATCTGTATCACTGGATACGAAGCATATATCCACAGTATTCATGCTAGTTGAAAGCAAAGCAAGTTAAAGCAGTAGAATATTTAGAGGGAGGGGAAATACCTTGTAGCATTCTCTAATACTGTTCTTGTAAGAAAGCCCATCCACATACCGTCTCTTCTACCAAGAAACCATTCGAAGATTCCTGCAAAATATCACTGGTTACACTAATTTGCTTTCAGACAGTTCATTCATGCAATTACAACTTTCACAGCCTTTAAAACAAGCTGTGTGTTATCTTACTCATCTGGAATCTATTCATCATTTTTATTAAGGTCAATATTTACTATTTATTAAGGTAATTGGTATGCCCAAGTTCTGGAAGACTTGTACAGAAATAATAAAAGAAATGAGCGTTACTCACCCACATAACCACCATCAAGACTGAAACGCTCATTCATTGTCAGTGTGAACAAGTTCTGAAAAGCATTAAACAAGCCAACCTTCATCCATTGCCAGCTCACTAGTACCACTAATAAACAAGAGGTAGCACTGCAATTTAGATGTCAACTGAGCTTCTTGTTTGTTAGACTCTTCCTCTTCGAGTAATAGACTGCGAGATCAATCCCATGTAGAGAAGAACCTAATTTATTACTGCCTGAATAAGCAGAAATGATAATTCATAGTTTTCTGACCCGGCCAAGCAATCAGCAAAGCATGCTTTTATGCTAAGCAAGTCAAGCCAAGCCTGTGGCCATTTTTTCTTTTGGTCTGTGTTGCATTACTGAGTTACCAGTTTTCCTTTCCCTGCTGTATGTCACCTTCTTCTCAGACCTGTGCGTACTATTCCAGTTTAAGTCCCAGTGCTAAGTACACCCTGATACATTACTGGTATTCACATGGGTGTGCAGCTGCACTTGATTCAATCCATGCTACTTGCAACATGCAATTCAAACTCAAATTCTTCTAATTGTTTCTTTCAGAGAAAAATGGAATTCAGCTACACTGGATCATATTCAGAACGGACTCTTCCCAACTTATTTGAGCCGAAGACCCTGGTAAAGTTCTACATCTTAAAAACCAGCTGTACAGATAACCCTCAGATTTCAGGTACCTATTAAACGAAAACTCAATCAAAAAATCTTAAAATTTAGGAGTTCTTTTTCTACAAAGCTTTGGAGAAAGAGTTAAAATAGCACAAGTACGCCATTTCACCTCTGGGATTACAGCAGTAGCTATTAGCTAGCAAGAAACTAACCACTTGAGCACTTTGTAATCACTCCTGTTCCTATTCAGAATTCAATGCTGTTTTTAAGAATTGTCCAAAGCGAAATATTTCATTCGGGCAATCTCCTTTCACAAGGAAGATTGCAGCATTGCTTTCTTTTATCTTTTTTCAAGTAGCTATGCTGTGTACCAGAACAATTAAGAGATCATTTATTAAAAAACATCCCAAGAATGCCTGAAGCATTCTTAACAAACTGTCGATGCCCCTTCCCCATACTTACTGGTTTGACTCCAGACACCATGCCTATGTATCCTGCAAAATTTGTAGACCTGAATACTGTTTTGTTGTTCCTCTGGAAGTCCAAGAGTACCACTAAAGGCTTCAGTTCCCGAGTTAAAGTCCAGGAGTTATTTTTAACATCCCACCTGCAGAACACAGTACATAATTTGAAACTTCCCTCTCTCAGTAGCTTTTAAAATCTCCCTTCACAGCACGCAGGAGTGCTGTGTGTGATGCCTATCCTCTGATCTTACTCATGTCAAGCAACACCACTGCTCCAAAGCTACCTGAGCGGCACCAGCAAGGAACAACTAAGAAGTCTAAACAGATAGGCAGGCAGTGAAAATAGCCAAGTTTTGTTTGACGTAAGAGCATATACAGTGCTTAGGATTAAACAGCACCACCAGGACAGCTGCTTTGTTGTGAACACACATAACTTCTTTCTGTTCCTGATGGCAAAGGGAGCTACAGGTACTGCCTATGACACCAAACCTCAAATTCTTACTTTTCAAAGAAGAGAAACCACATACTACTGGATTTTCTCTACATGAAGGGAAGTCCCAAGTCGACTTTGTAAGATAAGCCAGACCAGTTTGCAGGTAAGAGAGTGATAAAGATCACTTAGCAGATCCTTACATTTTCTGAAAACAATTCAGGCTCTGGGAACAGCTTTGAAGTTTCTTTAATTTTCAGGGAACATGTTCACAGTATTTCTGACAAGCGAGAGAAATTCAACACATGCAAAACCAAGGGACTGGTGGAGTTACAGTTGACAACAAGTGAGTTTTTGATAGGCAGGTGAGAATTTTAATGAAGATGAACATTTAAATTCCAATTGGACATTGAGCATCGTCTGGATGAGTGATGTTACAAAATATACTGGGGTAATAAAAGCAAATGCTGAACTACCTGATCATGGGGTATGAAATGAGAGCTAAAAGAGAATGCAGTGCTGGGCAACAAACTACAGTGTTTGTATCCAAATGGATGACGGTGTTAGATCAGTGGAATATAAATCACTGACTCCTGAGTGGAAATGATGAGTCAGGGGAAGTGCCAGTAAAGTACAGTACAGTAACGAGGGGAATAATCCGAGAAAAGAAAAAAGAAAAGAACATAAAAAAGCCAAGCCTCAATCTAATCCCCATTTCAGTGCATACATTAAAATTGATGCTTCATCCCATCATGTAAAGAACAAGACATACTGTGCCTCAGAGATAAGGCACATACTGTGCCACAGAGATAAACCATTCTGTGGTTTGAGACAGTTTAAACTGGAGCTGAGAAAAAACTTAGTGACACAACTGTTCTTGATGCACTTGGGGCAGTTTGACATAACATCAGCAGAATAATCCTTTTCATTTTAGCCTTTTTGCACAACACACAATGCAGAATTACCTGTCACTGTCTTAACAACATCCAGTTCATCAGTTAGACTCAAAAAATGCATGCAGAAATTTCAAGTTCAGCTAGCTTTTTCTTTGGGTTAAAAAAAAAAAAAAAGTCACAAGTTTAGGTACTTACCCTAGAAAGAGTCCAAAATCCAAGTTTCTGGCATGGTACAGTTTCCCTATACAACAAACAAACAAATAAGATTTTTTAAAGAAAGAGACAAATTTCAGTTTAGAAATGCAAGAAATGACTAAGCAAGCAAATACTTGGGAAAGTAAGCAACAAAAATACCATTTCTAGTTGCCTTTTTCATAAGCACAGAATAATGGTGGGGGTTTTTTTGATCAGAGAAATGTTTTGCCATAACTGAGATCAATTAATCTTGCAGACTGCTGTCCATCTGGGCCTCAGATGCTTTCCACATTATCTTAATGCAATGATAACACACTGAGCTTCCTCTAAAAATGAGACATTTGTAAGCTGTCTGAGAATCCCTTAGAAACTTCCTAAGCTGGAGCAGGTGCAGACAAGGGCTGCAGAACTGAGAAGGAGAATGAAAGAGTCTATCTTCTTAAAAGAGATAACCTATTTTGTCAATCTCTAACGCCATACATATGCAATAGCTAGAAACTAGATGCAAAATCCCACATGGCACTGAGAAAGTTTCAGGTGTCTAGCTGGTGTTTCTTTCCCCTAGAAAAACAAACACCACCTACGAAGAAAACCTTAACCAACCAACCACAAAAAAACCCCCAAAAGACTCCCTAAACTGACAAACAAAAAATTCAACAAAACCAAACCCAAACCATCTTTGAAGGTATTTCTGTCCTTTTTTTTTTTAACGTAAAACACCTGTGATCTCTTATTCCCTTCTCAAGGAATATCTTTTTATTATCCTTGCTTTTAGTCTCTTTACTAGACCTCTTTGCCTGCAGCTGAGGACGACTGTATTTGTATAATTGAGGTGGAACTTCTTCTACATAAAAGAAAACTATTAAAATTATTCTGGGTTACATTACCTGTTTTATCTTCCGCCACTATTGATGTACATACAGTAAAAATTTCATAAAAGATGTTAAAAATAACAATTTCCCCTAGAACAAAAAGAAACAAACTTCAATAGTTTTGAAACTTTTGCCATGAACAGGAAAAAAATGGTTAGAAACAAGCATACTGCAAAGTTCAGTATCCTGTCATATTTCTATTAAGAATTCCTGTTTAAATCTTATTTGATCTTTGAAATAATTGGTTCAACAAAATCAAGAGCTTTCTGAAAGGCAAACAGAAGGATGAGAATCTCTTGGCCTTCTGCCTTACCACAAAGAAAGATGACAGTCATTGCTATTTCCTCCTCTGGAAACTTCACAAGAAGCTATAAAATTCACTTAAAAGAAGAAAGTTGCTATATGTACCCCTACTCCCATATAGGAGCAGTTGCCTGGCACCAGGTGTACTGCTCCTGCATGAGGGAAGCAGTGGGAACAGGTCAACAGTCCTTCTCTGTCTCCATTCTGAAAGAATTCAGTGCCTACTTCTCACCTGGAATGGCATTCTTTTACAGGAGGTGCAAAGGGAAGGCAGAAGGAAGTGGCAAGGATCACAAGGGAAAGAAATCACAGCATGAGACTGGGCTTGCCCTTTGTATGTCAACAGCAGACATACAGCTGAACGACGAGAATAGAGGATTCCCCCAAATTTTGGTGCACAGGAGCTGAGACCTGCTCCAGTTCCCAAAACTTAGGAGTGAGAAACCACAGCTCTACAGAGAAGTCCCAACCAGATGAAAGGCTTATGTGATTTTATTTTGTTCTCTAAAATACTGTTTTTATTTAGTGTAAGATGCAATTTATTGCTTTACTTACTTAATTAATAATTTGTTAAGGTCTCAGATGACTACAACTAACTGCAGACTGGTAAACATACTAATTTTAAACAAGTCTGGATTCCTAGTTTTCCACTGTGTTAATGAGTGTTGAAAATTATTACCCAAAGGAATCCCAGAGGAATTTGCAATCCCTTGGAGTTCTTCATTGAAAGGATAAGGAAGTGTGGCAGTCAGATGAGCCTGAAAAGAAAGGTTTTGTATGACATATGTTTAAATTAACACTATTTTGTTACTCCCAAACAGGTACACCCTTCTCACAACTACTGAGTATGTAATTTCTCTGCAGCCAGCAGAACTTGAAGATGTTTGCAGAGTCCTTTGAAGACAAGCACATACTTAGGAAAAGTAAAGACTATTACTTATCAAAATACTGACGTGAGCAATGGAGACTAGCACAGTATCTTAGCAGCAATAGATGGAACAGAGTGAAGTAGGACTTGTATATATTAAAAGCTCAACTGGAATTTAGCTTAATGTCAGTGTTTATTGGCATCCCTAACTTTCCCACATTAGTATGACTACCTGTATGTGCTGCCTTTATGTCAACCCCACTCAGGCACACAGGGATATGCTGCAAATAAAAATGGGGAAGAAATCTGACTTTATGATGTGTCTACCGCTACACTGCTTTCCCCTGTCCTGATTCCATGCCAAAGCTTATTTTAATCTGAATCAAATTATTTTTTAAGATGAGGCCTGGTCAAAGTTGTCCCTGTAATCAGACCCTTATTACAGTTTACAAAACCTAATTTTATGCTACTGTTTAAAAGGAGTAGAACATTGCACAAAGAATTCCAGTGAAGTGTTTTGTTACATTAACTAAGTCAGTAGCATATTTGCCTACCGTGACTAATCCAAACTTGAAAAGATCTTGGGAAAAATTAGAGGAGGAAGAGGCACATGCATTTTTCGTTTGATGGTTTCAGAGTAATTCAGAGATGACAAGACAGCAAAATTTCAGAGTGACACTTTAAATAGCATTTCTGTTCTTTTCTGGAAGTGGAATTAAGAACTTGTAAATTAAGAACTTTTAAAGTTCTTAACTGTCAAATTTAGTAGCATTTTAATTCTGGTAGTCAGAGCATGCAGTAATAAAATAATTACGCTGAAAATACTTACTATTTTGTTATCCACTATGTCAACAACTTTGCCGCTGGGGAAGAAGGTATTTGCTATATCTTTAATATTCTGGACCACAGTCTTCAGCTAAAAAGAACAAGGGCTTTTACTGAATAGAATCTCTTAATCATAAGAATTGCTAGAATATTAACAGAACACCTCCACAGACTTTTCAGAAAAACATTTTGTTGAGAAAGTATGTATTTAAATAAAGTGCTAAATGTGGTGTTCTTGGTGAGAAAAACACCTCCAACCCCCGACACTCTTAAAGAGAATCACTCCTCAAGCTTTGTTCAAGTAACTTTCTAGATTAGTTCCAACATGTCCTTCTACCAGAGAAAACGGATTACAGGAAACCCATCCTCCTCTTGTGTTCCTTTGATCATATTTTAATACTCTGCCCCATTCTGTCTTTAAAAATGTTAATTACAAGCTCTTTGCTTAAGCACTGGTATTTTTGAAGACAAAAATACTTGACAAAGTTCTTATAAAAGTACATGCTTTCCATTTGTGACATGTGAATGGCCACAAATAACAGTTCCTTTCCACCTAACTCCAAAGTACACAAGAGATAAAAACCTTTCAGAATTTAAGGTGCAACCTGAAGCTTCCAACACCCACTGGTTTAAATGAGACTTTAAAAATAAATATTAGCATGTAAGTAGAATTTGTCTGGCTTTCAGAGTTGAAAGCTCAAGGTCAGCAGGCGTATAGCAAAAAGCCCTGGTCTTGTTTGAGAAAGTAATTATTACTGAATTGAATTTTTAGCAGTCTTCAGAAGAACAGCTGTTTTAAGTAGTTTGAAATAGATTCAAGTATTTTAAAAAATATTTTTGCTGTGTAAACACCAGTGCTACAACCAGCATCCCTGAAAAGGGCAGGAAGTTCTTAATTTCCCCCTTGCCATTTCACCATCTCATGCAGTGTTTTAAGAGAAGCAGAGAGGTGCAGAGGAGAAGGGATGCTGCCTCAGTTTCACTTCAGTTTACTGAGGCCATCCCTTTGGTATACTCCTCAGTGCAGTTCATCCTGCACTGCTTCATCACTAAAGAGATTTGATAAATCAAATTGCACACACTTGCTCTATGGCACACTGTATTTTATTCCTCTACATCCCAAACATCAGTACCTCCACATTTGATACTGCTAGGTCAAGTGTTGAACAGAAAAAAAGGTTTACTCAAGCATTATTTTAGGTTAGAATCATATTAAAAAAGTCAACTCAAAATATTATCCTTTTCATGTAATTTTAGCACCTGTATTCCTTTCCAAAACCTTTCTGAAAATAAAAGGCCATGTGCTAGCTTTATACCTGCTAAACTTCAAACAAGCTCTGCATATCCTACCTCTGTCTTTTTGTCCTGCATCAAGTTATCCCATCTTTTGCTGGGAGGTAAATCAAGATTTATGACATATGTGGGTATATTCCCTTTGAACCTGAAAGATAAACACCAGAGATCAAATTTAAAGAAGGCTCTGAAAAAACATTTGACAAAATAGGTGCTTCCCACCTGTAACGAGCATTTTCTAGATCTGCAACAGGAACGAGATTCAAGAAAAAACCCTGTTCAGACTTGCAAATCACAACTTCTCTGTAATTTGCTAGACAAGTTCAATCAGATTACTTACGTTGGTCCAGAAGGAGGGTACATTTTACTCCTGCACTCTTCTCCATACTGTAAAGACAGTGACACGTTACTATTTAGCTTCTTTGTTAAAACAGTATTATTCTAGCAGACTTAGTTTTGAATTAAACCTTTAGGACTAGTCAGTTAATTCAAAATCTTGGGACTTTGGAAAGGGTGCAGAGGAGAACAGAAGAGGTAGGGACAAGCAGCAACTTCCCCATGCTGTCTGACAGACCTTCAGACAACTTGCCTAATGTAGTCCAGGGCAAGCACAAGATCATGATAAAGACACAAACCCACTTTTACTCAGTGTGATTTAATGAAGAGCACTTTATTTACTTACTACTTTATTTACTTCTTTATACAAGTTCAGAAACCTTAAATCTCAGGATGGACCAGTTTGTTCTGTTTGTCCAATTCATAATCCCATTTTATAGCAGCATTCATCATTATGTTTGGTGTTCAGTTTCACTGTGTAGCTGGGGTAGGGAAAGCACACTGAACTTTGTGCATATTACTCAGCTAGCATAATGAGCTAAAAGGCAGGAGTTTTGATTTAGTGTGGAAAAATGCTGCTGAAGTGGTGCTAAACATTACGAGAGGTGTATTTCAGGAATATAATTAAAATAGGTACCTTCATTACTGCAAGCATGGCTAGTTACAAATGAAAGTCTGAGAACTATTTTAGGTGTACTCAAAGTGAGTGCAAGGGTGTTTTCCCATCAATTACATAAAGCATGCATATAAATACATAAACATATGCATATATATGCCACAATGATAACTGCACGTTTTACCCAGTGAAATACAATCAATTGCCTACTAGGTGCCTGTACTTCTGCTTCAAGCCAGTTGATAATAGACCAGATTTGGTCCCTTAGCTATCTGAGAAGTTCAGTAAGCTCCTTAAAGCACAATATGTCCCACTAAGAAAAAAACAAAGGTACGTGTGCTGTTCTGGGAGTCCATACAAAGGCTCCCAAAGCACAAGTATTTAAGAGACAGAACAGAAACAAAAATACGTAGGAATCCTTCCACCACTCCTCTTCTTCCCCACCCTTGATTTTGAATATTTATTTGGTTGTATTAATTAGATTACTTTACAAGTGCGCCCTTATAATGCATTCTGGCTCCAATGAAAACTGGGACAAGATCTCCAGCAGTGACCTAACCGAACAAACTAAACTGGAACAAGCTAAACAATGTCCATGTTCTCTTTGGTCTGATCCCATTATCTGGTTTTAAAGCATTAATATAGAAAACACAATGTCTTACACAATGCCACAGACTTTAAACACTGGCCTAATTTGTTACAACTGGAAACAGCAATTCTGAATTGGGATTGCCTTCTGTGTGTTATCATGTGCTTCTCTTTGTATTGTTTCAAATTGCTGGGAGAAAGCATGAAATGAATTTTGGCTTTCCAACATGTGAGACGAAGGTACAGGACCAGCAGCGAAGTGTTTCCTAGATTTCACTGCAGTGCTGTTATAGCCTTTGCACAGCTGGAACAAAAGATCAAATGCAAAAGGCCATTTAATTTTCAAAATGAAGAAGTGTCAAAACAAGGAGGGTAGGGAACGATATCAGATGACTAATTATGCAACAGAAGTCACAGGCTTCGTGCAAAGTCAGACAAATGCTTAACAGTATTAATGCAATTGTCTTGTGAAATTTTCCATCCTGCAATACTATAATCAGTTCAAAAAAGTGACATTACTCATGCATCCTACTGCAAAGGGTGCACAGATTAGGACCTTCGGGAGAAACCTGCTCTCAAAAATATGGTTCTTGACAGATAAAGCCTGTAACAAAAAATTATCTCAAAGGGATGAAAGTTCAGTTAATCTGTCAGTATAGGCCATGTGCACATGGAGGAAACAGTGGCAATCATGCAAACTGATTTCAGAGGACTGTAGGTGATGTTCCTGGTGCTAAATGTCACCTGTGCTAACGCTCTTAAATGTGACATAATGTCACTTCTGACACTTCATCCTGAGACTTTAATCCTGTATTTGCAGCTATTTTTATCTTCCCAGACCTTTGCAACCTAAGTCACAAAAGAGGTGAAGAAAGCAACAGTAAAAGGGGGAGGTAACAGAGAAAATGTTTCCTCCTTACATGCAGTAATTTTAGTTTCCTCATCTGTCTATGGATAAAGCAAGCTAAAGGAACGAATAATTCCTGAAACAACACATACATCTTTCAAAACTGCTTGAATATCTGAAGAAAGTCAAGATTATTAGTAGTGTCTTTAGGTAAACTATTATATCATAGAATCACAGAATATCTTGAGTTGGAAGGGACCCACAAGAATTATTGAGTCCAACTCCTGGCTCTGTGCAAAACACTCCAAGAATTCCACCATGTGCCTGAGAGCATTGTCCAAACGCTTCTTGAACTCTGTCAGGCTTGGTGCTGAGACCACTTCCCTGGGAAACCTGTTCCAGTGCCCAACCACCCTCTGGGTCAAGAACGTCTTTCTAATATCCAACCTAAACCTCATGAGGAAGCTGTGGACTGTGATGAAGTCTGCCCTCAGTCTCCTCCAGGCTTAACAAGCCAAGTGACCTCAGCCGCTCCTCGCATGGCTTCCCCTGGAACATAAGCAGTAACTTAAAGACAACTAGAAAACTAGAAGTGTTTTGGCTTCTCTTTTTTACACGAAGTTTTAACAAGGAACAAAAAGTTGTTCCCTTTTGCAATCAGCTAAAGAGTAACAGTAAATCTTTCTGACAAGGTAAAAAGAAAAAAAAGACACCTAAAGGATTTTCTTGCAGCAACAGAAAAAATCATCAAGCACTTTTTTAAAGTAGAATGAAATAAGGAGCTATGAAGTTACTGCTGTGGTCAGCAAGATTCTCCTCTCTGCTGAGGCCTGACAGTAGAGTAGGAACAATAAACGCTGTGCAAGAGAAGAAGGAACATTCTTCCAGCAAAACAGAATTGCCGTCACTTTCCAATGTGACAAGCCAGAGGTGGTCCCTCAGAAAACATCAGCAGAAGCTGGCTCCAAACAGGAGGTTATCACTATAAATTTGCTTTTCAAACATGTATTGAACCCCCTAGGAGGAATACAGCTATTCATGAATGGTGATGTAATGCTTTTTTTGTTTGGTTTGGGTTTTTTTTGTTTGCTTTTTCAAAAAAAACAAACAACCTACTGTTGCTGGTAAGTTGCATATTTTCATTATCTGATGTACTGCTGACTTTCAAACTTGGATGTACGTAATGAGGCAAAACCAGATGTGCAGCACCATAGGATTAAAACACTAAAAGGAAGATAACAGAGTGGAGTAGAAAGAGAACATGATATGGGGAAAGATGGAAATAAAAAGAAAAAAATTGAAGTAGCACAGAAGATTTATATTACAAAAAAAAAGTAGAGTGGAACAGGAACCAAATAGCTAGAAAATTGTTGAGATGAACTCCTAACTAGGAAGAAAAAATCAAGTAATAACAGTTATTAATCACTGCAGTAAAGAAAATTAATGCAAGGTTTAATGACTGCTGAGCAAATATTTTGACACCTAGCCTAATTTCATTAATATGACATAGACTGAATGTCACTTTTCCAGTCTAAGGAATGCCAGCACTTTTTAAATTACCCTCAAATATATTTTTGAAGTGGACCATCTGTGGCACCCTTCCTTAATATTCACTGTTTCTGATCTTCATATGTAAGAATAAATATAAAATTACCTCTTTGAGTTATTAAATACAATTCCATAGTTTAAGGACATTGCATTCAGTCTCTTTCAGTCAATCTGTTATATTCAGCATCTTTTGGTCTATGAACTCTGTGGTCTAACACATTTTTCTCTCTGCTCCCCTTCCCTCACATGACAATGCCAAAGCAGCACTCTGTTGTGCTGCAGCAGTCCCAACGCTGTTCAGATAGTTTAAGAGTACTCTTGCAGCTCTGAAGGAATGGTGATCAAGCCAATTTAAATTGCAGTTTGGACAAAAAGTTCACTATGGTTGAGGGGGCCTAACTGAAAGTTAAAGGGACTGACAGTCTGCTCCATTAAGGTGTAACTCAAGACATTTAGCTGCCATGTTCTCTGTTAATGGAAAGAACCCAAACAGCTGTATGTAGGAATACAAAAATTGTTTATTCTCCAGCAAATGATGCAATCCAGTAGGTCAAACAAAACCAAAATATCCAAGCCTGATACCTGGCTGCACAGCAGCACAATTTGCAATCTGGATACAGAGCGGATTAGATGCAAGTGCGAAGATGTACCAAGTACAATCAAATGCAAAAATCAAGCTCTAATGACTAGACTTTGCTGATGGCTGGCATTTTCTTCTACCACTCCATACCCCAGGATACTTTTGGCTAAAATTCTGAAGGTGTTTTAAGCTAGAGCTGGCTTATAGTATTGGGAAACTTCTCTGAGATGGGTAGGATGGGACTGAAAGGAGAGAGGAGAGAGGGAATAAGAGAGAGACGAGAAGAGAACCCAGTTCTGTGTAATCAGGAAGCTAAGAGAACATGGGTCATCCAGATGTCTACAGTCCTTTCCTGTAGTTCTCCCGTCTCACAAATTCCATATTCATTTTCCTGAAATCAATAACATTTGCTAGGAAAAGCCTTAGAGCGAAGGAAGTAGATGTTCCCAAAATATTTAAAAATAGATTGCAAAATATTATTTTGAAATCCAGAGATATTTAAAACTTGTCCTCTTTACAGAGGACGAGGAGATTCAGGAACTGCTGAGATCAGAGTGCTTCGCTACTTCAGGAATAAAAAATACACCAGGAAGCAAGAGCGGCTGTTTACACGTCCAGAAGATGGAAGCCAGCCCGTTCCAAGTAACTACATCTGCCCCATCCCAACTTCACAATTCCACCAAAAGTTAAATATTTCACTTATTCAGCTTAAAAAAACAACAAAAAAACCGAAAGAACAAGAAACGACATCCCAAGCCCGCCTACTCTAACACTTCTCCTTGGGTGAGCTACAGCAAATACCCTCAGCAGATTCCGAGGCGTCCCTACTTTTAGCAAGCCCGTCCTAACTTTCCTTTGGGAAATCGCCGCTTTGGCGTAAGAGGGCAACACTGACCTTACAGACGCACACGACACCGAGTGCAGGAGCGAGCAAGGACTTGTACAACACACCCGTGGCACAGCCCGTCCCGGCCGCGCCGCAGGAGCCATTTGGAAGCCGCCGAGCCCGTGGGGCAGCGGGACACCCCACACATCCACACGCGCGGGTCTGAGCACTCGCTCGGCCTCCGGCGTGGGGAAGAGCGGCCGTATCCCCCCCGCCATCCCCCGCAGAGGGCTGGGGGCGATCCCCCCCACCGCGCCGTCCCGGCTCCCCTCCCGCCCCAGGCTCACCGGGTCCGGCGCCCAGGAGAGCTGCGCCAGGACGAGCAGCGCGGCGAGCACCGGCAGCGCCCGACCCCAGCTCGCCATCCTCCTTCCTTCCTTCCCGACCCCGCTCCCTCGGCGCTTCCCGGAGCCGCGGCCACATGACACGGCCCCGCCCGGCAGGGGCAGAACCCTCCCACCGCCCACACGGCCCGCCTCTCCATGTATAATACAGCAGCGGAGCCCATTGTCAGCCGCACTTCCACGGGAGGGAAGCTCCGTACAGGGAATTCCGAAATAAAATCGCGTCTCTTTGGAAACACTGAGAGCAAACCCGTGGCACCAGTTTTCACTTCGTAAATGCTGTGATTTTTAATTACTCTGTGTCCTTGGGAAGATTTTAGGCAGGCTTCGTGCTAAGGAGATGCCAGGCAGGCACCTTCTTTAGGAAGACTTCTCCCTATCTTGCCTGCTTAGGAGTGCAGGAAACAGGCAACGGGGCAGACTAATGAGAAATACAGGACATGAGATGTATCCAGCCATAAACACCTTGTGTGCTATTTGTTCATTACTATACATAAATGGTATCTATTTCATAGAATCGTAGAATGGTTTGGGTTGGAAGGGACCTTAAAGATCATCTAGTTACAACTTCCCTGCGCTGGGCAAGGATACCACCCATTAGATCAGGTTATTGTAATATTTGTTGTAATATCAAGTACAAGTCAGCAGCCAAATACAGTGCATACTCCAAAAAACTTACAATAAAAGGGATCATTTTAGTGGGAGCAAATAAACATTTAACGTTAGCAACAGTTGTGGGAAGCACTATGACAAAATACTCAAAACCTTCTGGGATGCCTTGTGTTTTAGTTTGTGTCATGTGCTTTATGTAGTGACCAAGATGTGTCATGTGTTCTTAGGCGCACAGAAGAAAAGTGATAGTCTTTAATATCATGACTTAATTGCCTGTGCAATTAACTGTCTTACAAAACAAACCGGAGGTGTCAAGAAAAAGGGAAGTCCTAGGCAGAAGGTTGATTGGAAAGCTGCAAGGAACTGCAGAAATTAAGAAACGGGAAGGATAAAAGAAATGTATTGTAATGTGGGAAAGCCTTGGATGAAGGGAGGGAATGCAAGTGGGTAGGAAGGAGCCAGCTCAGAGCATAAGCTGGGAAATTGCACAGAGCTTTAGAGACCAAAGCAGAAAAGCATTAAGCACTGGTAAAAGAAGATAGAGAACCAATCTGTGGATTTAGAAAACAAGGAAAATTACAGCATAACAGGATAAACCTTGAGATTTTCACAGGAGTGTTCTTTCAGAAATAGGAAATCAGGCAGTTTCTATAGGATCTGGAAAATATTTTCAGTTGAAAACAAGTACATATAAGACAAAAATCCGGTATTTACTTGCAGATATCTGAATATACTATTATGGACTATGGTAGAAAGAGTGTGATTAAGTTGGTCCTGTTATTTTCTAAACATCTGCAGCCCCTTTTGCTCATCTTTTATTTCTGGAGTAGACAGCTTTTAGGGATTTTACTATCTTTGTCTAGATGCTTTATCATCTTTAGTACATTTTGAAGCCTCTTTGTGCTTCTGGTTTAGTTCTTCCACTGCTAAAGAAACTCTCAGTTTAAGAAATTGTTAGCATCTTCCAGTAGCCATGTTTCTCTGACTATGGATATTCTGCTGTATTCCTATCAGAATGTCTCGTCTCCAGGGTCTACTCCAATACTTTAGGCCCTTGATTTTGTTGGCCTAGGTTTCTTTTGGCTGTTTTCAAAAGTCTGAGTCAGAAGAAAAAAGCTTCTTAAGATATGCAGTTAACTCGCTAACTGTACTAAGACACCTGGTGTCACTCATACCTAGAATTTATGTCCACCTTCTGCTTTCTCATACTCACCTATCCAGTACTGTATTACCACTCTCCAGATCTCTTCCTTCCTCCAGAAGCAGAGGCTGCACAAATTACTTCCCCTTTTCTGTTTTAGTTAAATTAAAGCTCCTTGTGCTAACAGTACTGCCAGGACACATCTCCAAGATGACTTCATGAATATCTCCAATGGGAAAATATCCCAATGGGATATAGCATCAGTTAAATATACGGATCTTCACTGTTGTGTCATACCTTTGATTTCATTTTCCTGGGATCAGATTTCCAGTGAATTTCCCAGATCACTGTTTCTGTGTATCTCAGAACATGTTTTAGCTAGAATCTAGTAGATCATTAGTCCCAACACAGAAGGCAACCCCATTGCTACTATAATATCCTTATTCCCTGCAAGGCTGCCAGTCCCTCACTAATTCTAGTACTTCCTCCTCTACTTGAGGCAGTCTCATTTCATTTGCTCTGCCATTTCTTTTTGCTTCACTTATTCCTAGCCCCATAACAAAGATGCCTCTCAGTTCTCTTTCTTCTTTACTAGCACTTAGAGCACCTGCACCTTGCATCTCCTATTTGCACTAAAATGAAGGGAACTTTCCATTTACAGGGGTAATTCTCAGGCTCTTATTCAGCTGCTGAGTACTCCATTCAGCACTCTTCTCACCAGCATAGATTTCTGCTTCCAGATGCATCCACATTTGAAGTAATCATCTTTCTGAGTTCTACCAGACAAGTTTTTATTCAAACAGTAGATTCTTGAAAGAAAAACAGATGCTGTAATATCAATCTACTTCAACCATCAACATTCACTTCAGATGTATTTAAGATTCACAGTGACTGTGGATCAGTGACACCTGCAATGAACTGTCCAATAAGGTCATTCTGGCCTGCAGCCTGCTCCTTGCAGTGCTGCCTCTTGCTCAGTGTTTCTGGGAGTAGTTTTGGCACTAGGCCACTTCCAGGTCCACGATGTTGTAATGGTTGTACATCAGGTTACTTACATTTCTGGGGAGGGACATGTAGTGTGGTACTTACAACAAGAACTAGTTAATGAGCCCTAATCCCCAGTCCTAAGCCAAACTAAGGAGCTCTGGAGAAAAATTAATTATGGTTTTGTTTTTTTTTTTTCTCTGATAGAACAGCTCACAGCTATGCTGCATTTTCATCCAAGAATTCCTCAGACTGGCCAGGAACATTTGCCAACAATCATCTATTTATTTCTAGCTCTTAGCCTTCTCCCCATAAATTCAGCACTCACACCTCTGTCAGACCTGAGCATGTGCAGTGTATCTTTACCAACAGTACAGGAACTCAAAATATGGCTTTTACACAGCCCTCTTCTTTACATTAAGTCACAGAGCATACGGACACACACAGCAACTGAAAAGCCCCTAAGCTACATATACAATCAGTTCATGTACTTGACCCTTTCTGCTATTGGTAAAAAGCTATGCCTACATGGCTCTCCCATTAATGAGGTGTTGATTTTTATTTGAGGGCAAGATCACTAAAAGCCAGGGAACTTTCTCTCTGGACTAATCAGTGTACAGTCTGTCTCCCAGGACTTAAGGTATGTGGCAAACAGTTTGCCATTGGTAATTGATATACCTTTAATTTTTCTCGAAGTCATTCCCTTAATACAAGTCAAATATGCACATACAGTTAATAAGATTTTATAACTGGGTTATCAATATGTGAGAAAATTTTAATACAATTCTGAAGATACTTAACAATTACTTAAATAAAAAAAATTATAAAATATTTTACTCTTGTTTTCAATTTGACCCTGTCAAAGATGCAGAAGAAAATGGACCAGCTGGTGTCACTTGCAGTATCTATCCGCTTTCACTTTTGCTCTCCTATATGAAAAGAGTGAACGAAAGAAGATTTAGATTAAGACCAAATACAATTACACCTGAGTGTTTTAGCTGTCTCAAAACATTAATAATAGCCCAGGAGTGTTCTCACATCACCTGCAATTATCAGGAATAGTTTTCTGCATTCTGCCCACTGAATTAATGCAAATATTTATACCATATACTGGTACAAAAGGCTTTAAAAATTCAAGACAGTTTCTAAAGCCTCAGCTCAGGGAGAAAAAAAAATATTCCCACTAGATAACACAAAGGTAATCCTAATAAATGCTACTTCTCTTTAAAATGCAACTTCTTTCTCTCCAAAATGTTCTGGGGTATTGAAAAATGTTAAAAATTAGCTTAATTTTTAGGATTAAAAAGATTAATCCCTCAATAATTCTGCAGTAAACCCACTGAACAACCTGAATTAATTTACAGTCCAAACCTGCTAACTTCAGCTAAAGAAGTGAAAATTCAGATAAAAAAAAAAATAAAAAAAAGGCAACCCCAGAACTCAGGCACAACACTCACCACAGAAGAAATGCTCAACAACCCGCCTGGAATCTAGCCCTCTTTTGTACCCCAGGTTTACTGTAATTCCATCTCCCAGTAGTTTTTTTAATCAGTACAATATTTCTTGTATTTTGAAGTACCTGTCAAGCAGCATTTCATGAAAAGTGCCTTCTTTCCTGGCTTTTCTAAGAGCTTTTGTATCTTCTTTGCTTATTTTAAGTTTTTTGTCTTGAAAACTTTGGAATTTCTTTCTGTAAGGGGGAGAAAAAAAAAATAAAAAGGAAAATGTCTTTAAAATTTTGTGTTTCAATAAAACAACAGTGATAAGAGTCTTAGTTTCTATTATGCAGCAGAAAACTGGCCTAATAAAATACATCAAACCATCTCAGTACTACCACTGCACTAAGGCTCCTGTAGGTGAAAACTATTCAGGTTTTATTTTTTGTTTTGGCAGTCTAAATAGAAATGAGCCCCTATGTGGTCAGGAATTGTAAAGAGCCCCTTCTTCAACTACTAGCATAAGAAATCAGGGAACAAAAGTGTATTGGATGTAGGTCACAAGGTGCTGACAGTGAGGGAGCTGCAGGGAGTTTTCTCTGTGAGGAAAGGCCAGGGGCTGCCCCGTGCTGTACAGAGCTGGCTCTACAACACACCCACTACAGAACACAGCCAAGTCCCATCAGCAAAGCTGGTGGCACCTCTATGAAAATGTATTTAAGAAAGGGCAAAATGCCACACAGGCAGAGGAGAACAGAAAAAAACCCAAAAGTGCAAAAATGGCAGTGTGAACATCAAGGACAGAGAAAAAGAGGGAGGAGATGCTTCAGGCACTGGAGCAGATATATTACCTTTCAACTCATGGATAAGACCATGACAGAACAGGGGAAAAGTGGGAGAGGAA